TTAGTAAGGATATTATTGACTAATTTCTTAAATTCACATTCATTCGATAGATGCTGACACAAAAATGAATACATTCGCGAAACAGTGGGTAAATTATACTAAAACTGCGTACTTAGTTCTTCTCTCTGACGTCAGGATTAAAAAAAAAAATTTAAATTTGAAAAATATGATTATTTCAAAAAATTATTTAAAAAATTCAGTGCACTGTAGGATAACAATATGGGTATCATATAAAAGAAAAAATCCTATAGAATTATGACAGAATAAATTTTTTGGAGCACAAGGACGAATGGGTATGGAAAATGACCTTTACACATTTTGTCCTTAAATATCCTTGAAAATTTGCAATATATTTTTTTTTTAATTATTGTTTGAGGACTAATATTCGAACGTCCTCATCATTTTGTCGTGCCAACTTTATTAACTTAAAAAAATAAAATTTATTAAAAGCGCATTTTCAATACCAATTCGTCCTTGTAAACCAAACGAAATTATTGTCTTTTAATTCTAAAGAATTTTCTCTCTCATGTGGTACCCATATTGTTATTCTACATTGCACTCATTTTTTAAAATATTTTTTTTTGTTAATTAATCATATCTTTATAGTTTGAAAGTCCTTTGAAAAAATCCTGACATCAGCAGTTTTACCATATTTGGCCCATAGTTTTGTGGGTTTATCAATTCTTTCGTGTGTTTTCAATTTTTTTTTGTTTTTGTTGGACGATGTAATATTTTCTTTTTAGTGAAACTACGCCATATTCAGGCATATGTATACCTTTAACAAAAAATATTTACACTACTATAAAAATAACTTTAAAAAGTCCTTACTTGCACTTCACCAAGTCCGTGAATTCAGCCTGCGAGAGCGCATATTGCGGATCGAGTGTGACAGATTTCTTACACCGTTGCTGCTGTTTATCACACTTGGCACGCTCACCTTTACCACTTTTTCTCACCTTAACGAATACAGTGCGGCTGGCCTTTTTTGTGTTTTTGTTGTTTTTCGCGCTAAGCTGCTGATTCTGGCGCATAATTGCAGTGCCATTGCCAATGAAGTCAGCATCAGCGTTATCAGTTGGCGCCTTGCCACGCCCACTGCCGCCGCCACTGCCACCAGCGCCATTAGCATCTTCCTTATTGGCGGCAGCCGCTTTCTCGGCGAAACTATCGCGCCGCCATGAAGGCGTTAAAGTGCGTATAATATTTTCGGTATCATTGTAGCCTTCGTAGTGATAGCGTTTACGCAAATTAACACCGGAAAGAAATTCGAGCGTTTGCCAAACGTTCATTGTGTTCGTCTCGAAAAAGTGCTCATCGTCTACTGACCAGTCAGAGTTGTGCGCGATGCGATTTGCCAACATCATTGTGACGGTTGTGCAATTGCTGGAGTTGGTGGAGCGCTGCAATGGTGGGGGTGCGCCAGTGAGTGAGGAGCTTTGCGATGACAAGCGCTTGCTGTTAGGTGGGCGAGGCATTGTCGGGGAGGCGATGTTGGCTCAAAAGCAGAAAGTAGTTCTATTTTCGTAAAAATAATTGTGTGCACTGCAAGGCTGCAAGTTGCGATTGCTCACTTTTTTCTTGCTGTTGTTTTTTTGTTATTCTTTACTTGTTTTATTTATGTTGTTTGATTGGCACTGCCAAGCAATTTTAATTTCAATTCCATTTTAAATGTAACTTTACGAACTCTTCGCGTTGCACTTATTTTTCTTTTACAACAACTACTCATATGTGTGGCGTGTGCGGCATGCGCTCGATTGCGCTACGTATTGCGCGCCGCGTTGCACCAAATGTGTGACAGCTTCAAGTCGCTTGCCAGCGCTGTTCGCCGTTTTGCGTTGCGCTGTTGTTGCTTCTAACAACTTGCTGGCGCACATCCACTTTTATAACTGTTGCCATTTTCATTGTTTTGACACCTTGACAGCAACACTTTGACACACTTCCCGACATGCCACCTTGCTTGCCTTTTACCCATCCCCTTGGTGAGTGCGCCTTAAGCACTTTTATTGGGTGC